AGAGAAAAATGAAAACTTGGGTTCACACAAAACCTTGTAGAGGAATGTTCAGAGCAGCTTTATTCAAAATATCCCAAAATTGAAACAACACAGATGTCTTTCAACAGGTGAGTGGTTTGCAAACTGTAGTCCCACTATACCATGGAATACTACTCAGAAATGAAAAGGAATGAACTACTGAGAAATAGGGCAACTTGGGTGAACCTCAAGAGAACTATATTGAGTAGAGGAAAAAGGAAAAAAAAAAAAAAAAGCTAGTCTCAAAATTTTATATACCATATGGTTCCATTTATATGTTGTTGTTAGGTGCCATTAAATCAATTCTGGCTCATAGTGATTCCATGTGACAGAGTAGAACTTCTCCATGGGGTTTTCTAGTCTGTATCTTTATGGGAATGTATTACCAGGTCTTTTCTTCCTTGGAGCCACTGGGTAGGTTTAAACCATTAATCTTTTGGTTAGCAGCCAAGTGCTTAATCATTTGGGCCACGAGTGCTCCTCCATTTATATAGCATGCTGGAAATGTTGAAGTTAGAGAGATGGAGTACAGATTAGTGGTTTCCAGAGAGTAGGGGAGAGGAGGAGATGGTAGGAAGTGACTGATTACAAAAGGGTAACAGAAGAAACTCTTGTGATAAACCTGCTCAGGGTCTTGGCTATGAGTATAATCACATAAATCTGTGCCTGTGGTAAAATTCCATAGAAATAAAAACACTATATAAAAATATAAAACTTGTGAATGAGGAAATAGAAAACTTGTGAAGTCTGAAGATAAGTGATGGATTATAGAAAAAAAATGATAAAGGAATCACTTGATAACAATCTAAAATATATAGGGGCATGCCTTTGTTTTCTTTTTCATATTTTTTTTCTTTGACGATACTTTTTTGCTTGTTGAACAACACTGCTTCTTCTATGGTTATATTATATCTGCTGTTCTTTTCCCAGAATGGCCTTATTACTCTTTCTATCATTTTGTTTCCTGTTAATATTTCAGTTATCTGCTTAAGGGAAATCTTTGCCTAATCTATCATTCCATCTTGCAAAGTTAAGGTGCTCCTTCTATCTTTTACTTATTTATTCTTTAAGTTTTTGAGAGTGGAGCATATGAGCGTGACAGAAAATAAGGGCCTCATGATAGCAACCTTCACAATCTTTGTAATTGAGTGATTATCTGTCCTCTATGTTATACTCTATTGCATGTGTATCTTATGCACTGTTAAGCTTCCAGTGCTTTTTACACAGGCTCTAAGTTATTGTCTGTGTATAGGAGTTACCAAAAGAAAACAAACCCACTGCTATTGAGTCAATTCCCACTCATAGCAATTTGCTTTGGGTTTCCAAGGCAGTAAATCTTTATGGAAGTAGATTGCCCAGGCTTCCTTCTGCAGAGTGGCTGGTAGATTTGAACCACTTGGAAACCCAAAGAGGAGTTGCTATGAGTCGGGTCCGACTCAACAGCACATAACAACAACAACAACAACAACAACAACAACAACTTCTGGTTAGTAGTCAAATGCCTTAGGCACTGCACAACGAAAGGGGGAGGAATTTTGGAGTAAGGTATACTTCTACAAGCAGAGTAGAATAGTGAATAAGCCAATAGTCTCTGTTGTTGGACTTTTTGGGTTTGAGTTTTATCTCTTTTTTGTTATTTGACATTATTTGCTGATTATTTGACATTGAAAAAAGTTACCTATCCTTTCCATATCTGAATATATATATATATAATACACACACATATACACACACACATAATTTTATAACAAAACTCACAAGGAAGGGGGAAAAAAACAAACAAACAAACAAAAAAAAAAACCTCTAGAATGCCGTCAGCAAAAACAAATAAAATAGACCGTTCTGGATTTAAAATGATTAAATTATTAGATACATAGTAATAAAGATGATTAAAGAACTAAAAGAAAGAGTCATAAACATAATGAAACAACATATCAAAAAAATGATACATCATGACCAAGTGAGATGTGTACTAGGTATGTAAGGATGGTTCAACATCAGAAGAACAATCAATGTAATCCACCACATAAACAAAACAAAACAAAAGAACCATATGATCATATCAATCAATGCAGAAAAGACATTTGATAAAATCCAACATCCATTCCTGTTCAAAACTCTTGGCAAAATAGGAATAGAAAGGAAAATATTCAACATAATAAAAGGCATATATGAGAAACCAACAGCCAACATTATTATTAATGGAAAAGGACTCAAAGAATTTCCCTTGTGAATGGGAATCAGACAAGGATGTCTTCTATAACCATTTCTATTCAACATTGTCTTGCAAGTCCTAGCCAAGTCAATAATGGAAGAAAGAGAAATGAAAGGCATCCAAATTGGCAAAGAAGAAGTGAAGCTATCTCTATTCGTAGATGACATTATTCTATACACAGAAAACCCAAAATGCACAGCAAAAAAATTACTAGAACTAATGAGTCAGATCCCACTCAAAAGCAGCAAATTTTGAATAGAAAGATTCAGCAAAGTGGCAAGATTCAAGGTCAACACACAAAAATCAGTTGGATTCCTCTACATCAACAAAGAGTCCTCTGAAAAGGAAACAAGGAGAGCAATACCATTTACAATAACTACCAAAAAGATAAAATACTTAGGCATAAATTTTACCAGGGACACAAAAGAACTATACAAAGAAAACTACAAAGCACTACTACAAGAAACCACAAGGGATCTATATAAATGGAAGAACATACCTTAGGATAGGAAGATTGAATGTTATGAAAATGTCAATAATACCCAAAGCAATCTACACATTCAATGCAATCCCATCAACATTTTTTAAGGACATGGAAAAACAAATAATTGATTTTACATGGAAAGGAAAAAGGCCTTGAATAAGCATAGCACTCCTGAAGAAGAAAAACAAAGTAGGAGGTCTCTCAATCCTGGACCTCAAAAGCTACTATACAGTCACATAGTTAAAACAGTATGGTATTGGTACAATGATAGATAGATAAACTAATGGAACAGAATAAAAAACCCAGAACTGGACCCATCCATCTATGGACAGTTGATCCTTAAAAAAGGCCCAAAACCCATTAAATGGCAGAAAGATAGCTTCTTTAACAAATGGTGCTGGCAAAATTGGATATCCACTTGTAGAAAAAGGAAACAGGATCCATATCTCACTCCATACAGAAAAATGAACTCAAGTTAGATCAAAGATTTAAATGTAAAACCCAAAACTACAAAGCTCATCAAAGATAAAATAAGGGCAAATCTGGGGGTTGTAAGGTATGGCTACATAGGCTATCAAGCATAACCTAAAATGCACAGGCTGTGGA